ACAATGACCGTGCATTCTATTGGAGTGAGGACGGCAACTGCAGTCTTTACCAAGCTCGTCAAGGCAGACAAAGATGGAGTATCTTCATGCCGGGGCAAGATTCTTTCTCTGGCACCAAAATGCCAAGAAAAGGAGCACTGCCCTGACTGACCCTAGAACACAAGCCAGGGAAGCAGGGGCTGCAGACGTACGGCCACCTTTGAAAAAACAGAATATAAAATTCCAACAGAGACCACCAAGAAATGCACCAACACGCCAATAACCTAAGCTCAGCTGGTAAAAGCCTGGTATACCCATGTATAATTGAAATACAGGCCAAATTCACATCCTGATGGACCTAGATTAGTGGAATGAAGGAATTCTGAATTTCCTGGGGCCAGTCACTTGGACGATGATATCTCAAGGCCGTCGCTCCATTAAAAAAAAAAAACAAAAAAAAAACAATACGAGGAACTGGCCTTGTTGAACTCAAATAATAATGTAGTCGGAGCTTTAATATCACAGATCAACTATATCATGAACTGGGCGTGGCAACAGTTCGCCCAGACAGCCCTTCTACTCTCATCTACCTTCGGCTCTTGCTCGCCGTTCCTAAAAAAGAAAGCTTCAACAAGCTAAAAATTAAATTAAAAATGAAACAAAATAAGAAAAATATAAATACAAAATTAATAAGGTTGTTCCTGAAAACATTTCCGGGAAGTCATCACTTTTGTCTGGAGCCTTCGTGACCGTTCTGCTGAAGTCATCAATCTCGTCTGGTATTGCTCTCGTGGTGATATCCCATTCTCAGCTTGGAGTTGTGCTGTGTATGATATCTTACTCTGGGTGATTTCCTGTGCAATTTCACTGCATAGTTTCGCTCCAGTGTGGTCCCATTGCAGGCAGTCTGGTGATGTCATCACGTTCGTCCTTTGTTGCTGCAGCCGTACCCCACTTTTATCATGCCCGATTTGTTCCAGAACCAATAAGCCAACAGATTTTTCACCCACTTCAGATTGGTGTGAAGTGTTGTTAAAATGACTGTCTGGTTTTCTTATAAATGGGCCTGAAAAATGGGTGCTCGGTTAACCCGCTCTCCCTTTCTGCAACCCTTTTAACAGCCCAAACAAACATTGCAGATGGGGGGAGGGGAAGGGAGGGAGGGAGGGGGGCGGTCCTCTTATGTGCTGTTTAATGGTTCGATTGGTGTGAACAATGTACGGGATGCTGGGCCTTGTTCCCAGCATGTGACGCTCCTGTGGGGCGGTCCTCTTATGTGCTGTTTAATGGTTCGATTGGTGTGAACAATGTATGGGATGCTGGGCCTTGTTCCCAGCATGTGACGCTCCTGTGCCATCGATTACCTTCATCAGACCTGGGTTCTTATCCCTATCCGATGAAGGAAGTTTTTAGTTTTTTTTTTTCTTTTTTTTTCCTTTTTCTTTTTCTTTTAAAGAGAATCACCAGCAGCAGCAGATAAGAGTGACGGTACGAATATACACTCCTATCTGCTCCACCAATGGCTCCAATCTATTGGTGGGGAGCAGCACCTGCTGGAAACCGGGTCAAGCATCCCACAGAACCTCAATGATTTGATAACAGACAAAGCCTGCCAGCATTGATTACCCTGGAAGCAGGGGATGAACTGAGCAGGAAGACGAAAAACGAAGAAGGAGGGGAAGGGGCCTCTCCAGCCCTACTGCTAGGCACCAGAACATCGTCGCTACCTAGTCTCCAACCCTCCTACAGCTGCAGCCAGATGAAATTCCTGTTAATATGTTATTCATTTCCCAGAAGAAGTGTTATAGCAGATGAACCAATCCGTACTGTCCAGCATTGATTGCTCTATTGCCGGGGGTACACCGGCCAGGGATAAGGTAGAATGCGAAACTTCGACCAGTAGTTCTATCTGATCTGCACCGTACCATTGCAGGTCGACCATAGCCAGCTGGTGGGGTGGGAAGGAGTCGAGAAACTCTGAAGGAGGGCGCAGTGGGATCTCCTGACCTACTGCAGTCCAATCTCTGAAGCAAACACAATAATCCCTCCTGAGCTCCTCCTGGTTGCACTCCTGGGTTGGTTTGCCTTTCCAACTAATAAAGGCGATCCGGGCCCCGTTCTCATGGTGGCCTCAATCCTGAGCAGGCCGTTTTAAGTATTCTTGCTTTGAAATTTCATTTCTTAGGTTTTCGCTTTCGACGGAGATGCCACTCATTTTCTTCTTGAACTGAATGCAAAGTCATTCTGATCATTTCTCATGCGATCTCCAGGGCGAATACTGCCGTTATCCTCAATAACAGAGGAATACATTGACCCTGCTGGAAAAGCAGGAAGTATAAAAGAAAAGGAAAAAGGAAGGACTACGGATGTCCGTCTTCAGTCTACCCTGTGGAAAGATTGATGAGGCAGTGTAGTTACTAAAAATTTTGGATGGAAAGAATTGTAGCTGGAATCTCAAGATTGTCCATTCCATAATGTACCTGAATGCTCGGGCTTCCATGTCCATGACCTCTACCAAGACGTGAGGCTTTGGCCAACTGTCTTTTGGATGTATGTGATTTTGTGAAACCTGAAGCCCATGGCCGTGTGGGAGACAACTGCTAATCTGGGGCAAAAGTTCTACATGTCTCCATTCTTAATTGTGGACTGTAGATTACAAGGACAGAAGGGCAGAAAGGCAGAATCTGTGGCCCTGGCATGGTGGCCTGTGATTTTATTAGACTTATCCTTTTTTTTTTTTTTTTTTTTTTTTTTTTTTTTTTTTTTTTAATAACAGTCCGAGCTGCTGCTAGGGTTGCTGATAAAAGCAGACACCACTAGCACACTCTGAGAGGCTCCATATATTGGTGGGGGGCAGCACCTGCTGGAAACCAGGTCCAACGTCCCTCTGAACATTGTAGTTGTGGGATAACTCCCTGCCACCATTGATTACCGTGGGCCAAACGGGATTGACTGAGCAGGGACGGAGGTGGCCGGGAGGGGGGCCAACGCCATGGGCCCGGGGGACACCAGGCTCCATGGCATCAAGGCCATCCCTCCCCCCCCATGAGGAGAATAATGGATAATCAGGCAAAACTGAGTGAGCTCACACCTACACACACACCCACACCCACACACACGTTTACCCACACCCACCCACCCACACTCACACACACACACTCACACACACTGAGTAGACTGTGGCTAGAACGCCCCTTGCAAGATTTCCACCACTGACAGCGGGTGAGGAGGGAAGGGGTTCCCAAAGTCCTGTGCCGGCCTAAGTGGGAACCCTGGATCAATAGCCGTCCATTCTCGAAATTGAAGCCTGTAGTCCCGCTTCATCTCTATGTGAGGGTCGTCTTCCCCTGCCGTTTGTTGTTCCATCTGTTCGTCTTCCGACCATGCCACCTTGGCTATCCAGCCCCCCCGCTTCCCTCTTGGCCATCCTTCACAAAAACGGGAGATGAGTCGGTCCGCATTCCTCCTAAAATGCACTGTTTCCAATTTCTCCCTCACAGCCTGCCAGCAGGTGGTAATCTTGGTCTGCACTAGTTGCTTGATCTGTTCTGTGACCTCCCCCTCCTCCACCCTGGCTTTCTCCATTTCCTGCACACACCTCCTCCACCATATTGCCAATAGTATGGATCTTCTCCCAAGGCGGAAAAGGTTCCAAGCACATTCGTCTTCTATAAAATCGCTCTCCAGTCCCATGGCCATGGTAAGTCTGGTAACATCTGCTGCCATATTCTATCCCACCATCGCCATTGCAATGCCGAAGCTGGGCACTACATGAAGATGTGCTCGATCGTCTCCGATTTCTTCTGTGGGGGAAACTGGTCATACGCCCTCGGCACAATGGCAGAGCATGACCTTGCTGCTCCTATCGGGTATGGTCAATCAACCAATCATTGGTAGGTAGGCAACGGTGTGCAATTTGCCATTGTGGTGTTGAGATCTTGGCTGGTAATGGCGAAAGCTCTAGCTAATAGACTAACTAAGGTCATTGCTGAAATTATTCATCCAGCGCAGATAGGGTTTATTATAGGAAGGAATATCCAAGATAATATATTATTAGTCAATGAGCTGATCAGGATATCACGTCAATCTAAACATAATGCAACCTTCATATTTATAGATTTGGAGAAAGCTTATGACCATGTGGATTGGTTATTTCTAGATAAATGTTTAGAAAAATTTAACTTTGGTCCAAACTTTAGAAGGTGGGTGAAAATACTGCATAGGAATGCTACAATCAGGGTGATGGTAAATGGTAATGTCGCCCCCCCTATTTCCTTACAGAGATCAGTTAGGCAGGGGGACCCAATTGCCCCATTTCTTTTTGTAATAATCATGGAGGCCTTAGCAGCTAAGCTCAGACAACATAAGGATATTAAAAGACTAGAAGCATCCAAAACATACTTGCGGCGCACTGCAGCGGTGCGCGATGCGCTGCGCATGCGGACGTGCGCTGTGCGGGCCGGCAGGTTCTGCGCACATGCGCATGCGGTACCCCGTGCTGCACTGCGCGCGCATGTGCGCGACAGCGTTGGGGGTGATGCGCGCCATGCGCCGGGCAATTCCATGTCCACGCAGCTGTGGTTTTTTGTTTTGGTTGGCACAACTTGGCAGGCTCTGTTTTTCTTTTTCTTTAACAACCACTATGTTGTCCAGGCAATTTTTTGTTGTAGAAATGTCGGAACACAATTCGAAAACAGAGGGTGTCAGAAACAGCTGCAGTAACACAATTCGAAAGCAGCAGAACACAATTCGAAAACAGAGGGTGTCGGAAAAGAACTTACCTGCAGGTGTCATTCATTAACAGAGACGGAGCAGACAACAACATGTCATAACAATGATAACATGCACAACAATCAACAGGCGATGATGGGGATAGCACCAGCAGACCATTGTAAGCATTGGACGAGCGGCAAGACAAGACCTTTGCAAACTGACAGCACTTAAAAAAGACATTGTTGGACAATTTGCCGGGAACAAACTAGCTTCAAAAAAACTTCAAAAAAAGTTCATAATCGGGCCAATAGTCGTTTGCAAGTTTATTAAAGTACAAAAAAGGAAATAACTTCAAAAAAAACTCAGAATCAAAGTTTAGCAAAGAGAATTCCAACAGTAGGCTGAATCCAAAACTAGTACACCCCGCGTACGGTCAGCCACCGTCCTACACTGTCGCCCCTTCATCCCAGGTTTCTTCACCATTGCTTTTTTCGGACCCGCCCTCGGATCCCTCCATGTCCTCCCCCTCCGCTCCCCACTCCTGCAAAGAGTGTTTATTGGACGAGCTGGACGAGGACTCATCCGTGTCTTCGGACGAGCTGGACGAGGACTCATCGTCCCCTGACGGGTCGTCCTCAATCACATTGACGGCGGCGACCTTTTTTTTTTTTTCGGGCCTTGTCGGCCGCGACTTTCGCTGCGGCCGCTTTTTCTGCTACTTTAGCAGCCCTCAGCCTTCTTTGCTGCAGCTTCAGCCGACGATGGTCGACCCCTCTTCTTCTTTGGCTGGGTCACGCACACTTCAGCTTTAGCCCTTCCCGCCCCGCCCGCCGCTCGTGCTCTTTTCCTCACACGCTTTTCCCTGGTGGTTTGACTCCCGTCGACCTTCCACCCAAGTGCCTGCCAGTCATGCCTTGAGTGCAGCCGCCCGATCCGCCTCTGTGTACACAACTGAAGGGGGGGGCAGCGAGCTGCCAGATCTCCTCCGCAGGTCTTGCTTTCTGCGACGGCCGGGTTTCGTGCACTCGTGCCATTCCCTCTCCAACGAACCCAGTAGAGCCATGTCCTCCTCGTCGCATTCCTCGTCATCTGCGACATCATTTCGCTGCCACGTCCGCACCAATGGCTCAAAACCGTCCTCTTCACCCACCTCCACATCTTCTGCCAACACATCGGCATCAGCGGCAACAGCAGCGGGATCAATGGCCGTTGCTATCCATGTGTTGTACCATTCCTTGATCTCTGCCTCCACCGGTGTGTCGTCCTCCCATGGAATGTGCACATCCCCCCCTTCTCCCCGCAAGGCCGCCCGCGACAGCAGGGTGTTCCAGTTGCTGTACACCAACTTGCCCAGCCTCTCCGGCAGCAACTTCGTACGCCTGAGGCCGAAAATAAGCTCGTGCAAGCTCCAATTCCGCTCGCATGCGGCGGAGGAGCTTGCCTGGCCCAGCAACTTGACTGCTTGTGGTTGGAGTAGGTCCAACTTCCCGCAGTAAGCCTCCCACCACAGGGCCGCAGGCTGCACACGTGCTGCTTCCGCAGCTTCTTGTGATTTGAACGACCTGTCCAGGTTAACCCACATGTCAACCTGGTGGCTGAGCTCGTTACGTGTCCGCTGGTCGTCCGACGCCCACGACAGAAGCCAAATGTTGAATCCGGCGCGCCCCTCAGGATCTCGCAAGGCATTCGCGTGACGGTGCTCTGGATCGAGGAACGCAACAGCACAATGCAGCTCGCTGGTCATGAATGCCCATCTCCGCATCAAGATGTCCTCGATTTCGGCCTTCTCGCCCGTCGTGATGCAATCAAGCTCGCGCATCTGTGCGACGAGCGAGTCCATCTTGAAATACACCTTCGACATGGACGGCCCCGGCGCATCAACGAGACGAAGCAGCGTCACTAGTGGCCCCATCACCGCCATCGCCTTGTCGACCATCGCCCAAAAGTCATCCTTCCCCAACACAATGGCCGTCACCTCGTGGAACGCAGGGAGCTGGTCCGTCCTGACCGTCTTCTCCACCCACGCAGCGTCATCAACGCAATTCTTCAGCGGGTTCTTGGCCTTCTTCAAGGAAGCTAGCATCTCGTGGTTGGTTGCGAAACGGGTCACCCCCGGCCGCTTCAACTTGGACTTCGGACTGTACACGTGGAACAACGCCCTTGCCTTGTCCACGTTGTGGAAGAACTTGCCCACTTTCAACCCTGCGTCCACAACTTTGCGCAACCACTCCAGTTCCTTGTACATGTCCTCGAGTGCCAAATCGAGGGCATGTGCAGTGCACCCCACGCGAAATATGCGTGGGTAGGCTGCCTCCACCATCTTGCCGGCCTTGACGCACACTTTCGCGTTGTCCATCACAACGCCCACCACCGCCTCCTCGCCGATCTTCTTGATAACCCCATCCAATATCCGGAAGTACGCCGCCGCACCGGTTGCATGTTGTAGATGGCTGGCTGGTCCGACAGGCGGAACCAACCGTACATTAATATGATGGTGTCATCCCCCATGGGAACGGTATTCTGGAAGACCACATGGATGGCTGGTC